AAAAAATAAAAAAATAAAAAAAAATAAAAAAAAAAAAAAATAATAAAAAAAAAAATAAATAAAAAAAAATAGAAATAAATAAAAAAATAAAAATAAATAAAAAAAAAAAACAAAAAAAAAAAAAGACAAAAATAAAAAAAAAATAAAAAAAAATAAAAATAATAAAAAAAAATAAAAAAAAAAAATTAAAAAAAAAAAAAAAAATAAAAAAAAAAAAAAAAAAAATAAAAAATAATAAAATAAAAAAAAATAAAAAAAAAAAATTAAATAAAAAAAAAAATAAAAAAAAAAAAATAAAAAAAAAAAAAAATAAAAAATAAAAAATATAAAAAAAAAAAAAAAAAATAAAAAAAAAAAAATAAAAAAGAAAGGAAAAATTAAGAAATAAAAAAAAAAAGATTTTTTTTTAAAAAAATACAAAAATAAAGGGAAAAAAAAAATAAATAAAAAAAAATAAAAAAAATAAAAAAAAAAAAAAGAAAAATAAAATAAAAAAAATAAAAATAAATAAATAAACATAAAATAAAATAAAAAAAATAAAAAATAAAAAAAAAAAAAATACAAAAAAAAATAGAAGGAATGGTTAAAAAAAAGGGAATAGACTGGCTTAGTAATGATTCAGGAAAAGGGGAAGATGAAACCTGGAATATATTTTTTAAACAGCTTACTAGAACAGAATTGAAGGAAATTAGAAACCCAATGTTGAGTAACATACTGAAAGTATGGAATAAGTACAAGGGGAGGTTAATAAAGGAAGGATCAATTATTACCCCAATAGTGATGGAAAAGAAATTCCCAAAAAATTTAAAAAAAGTAATGGATAAAAAGGTAAGGGAAATAAATTTAGATAGAATAGGGGATTGGATGAAAGTGGAAATGAAGAGGGAAAGGATGTTGGAAGAGTTTAAAGAAATAAAATTATCATGGTTTCACTGTATACAATTAGAACAATGGTTAATAAATTGGAAAAAGAATAACAGAAATGGAGGCCAACTTAATCAATTCGAACAAATAATACAGAAGGGAAGGGCGGTAGAAGAACATGAAAACTTGAGAGGCATAATTAGCAAAATCTATAAGATACTAATTGAAATGAGGGATGGAAAAATAAAAAAGTGTACCCTTAAGGAGATTTGGGAAGAGGATTTAGGGATAAAAATAAGCGAAATAGAGTGGCAACAGTTATGGGGACAAAGACATTTAAAAAATTTATCGATACGAGTTAAAGAAAATTATTATAAGCTAGTATGGAAGTGGTACTTAACACCGGTAAGAATAGCATATATGAATAAAATAACTCAATAAATTGTTGGAGAGGGTGTCAAGAACCAGGAACATATATACATATGTGGTGGCAATGTAAATATGTAAATAATTTTTGGGAGAAAGTATTTAGAGAAATAGAAATTATAATGAATATGAAAATAGATAAAAGCCCTAGTATAGCCTTACTATCATTATATACCAATAAGCAATTGAAAAAGGAGGATAAAGAAGCAATAACAAATTTACTAACTATAGCAAGACTGCTCATAGCAAGGAATTGGAAAAAAGAAATGAATATACAAATTGAGGAGTGGTATAAGGAAGCATGGAAATTAGCTTTAAACGATAAACTGACATGTATATTAAAGGTTAAAAAAGGTATATGGAAACAAAGTGATTTTGATGCTATATGGGGGAAATTTGTGATAAATGGATTAAAAATAAGGAAGGAAAATTACCGTCACAAGAAGAAATGAAATTTTGGACTGATGAAATGTAAGAAATGTGGCTTGAAACGGGTGGAGGGGAGCACGGAGGTGGGGAAAAAAAAAAAAAAAAAGGGGGAGGAATGTCAAAGCAAAACAACAAAATAACATGTTAAAGAGGTTGATGTAGAAAATGCAATAGTATGTAATAATTGTGATAAACTAATAAAAATTCATTAAAAAAAAAAAAAAAAAGAATCAAGGGAACCAGAATTCAAAAAGATCTAATTGTGGATGTCTACTACAGACCTCCGAGCCAGGATGAAAAACTCAACGAAGCTTTCTGTCAAGAGTTGACCAAACATGCACAAAGAAGATGTATAGTAGTCATGGGGGATTTCAACTATCCTGATATTTGCTGGAAAACAAACTCAGCCAAGAGTACAAAGTCCAACAAATTCCTTGTTTGCCTTGCAGGCCATTTTATGGTCCAGAAGGTAGAGGAACAAAAAGGGGATTGGCTACTCTCGATCTCATCCTAAAAAATGCAGAGGACCTGATCAATGCAGTCAAAGTGGTCGGATCCTTAGGGGCAAGTGACCATATGCTCCTGCAGTTTGCGATATGAAGGAAGGCTGAAAATTAGCCAAGTCAAACCTACATGCTGGACTTTAGGAGAGCTGACTTCCAAAAAATGAAGGAAATACTGAGCAGCATTCCGTGGACACAGATACTAAAAGACAAGGGAGTTTTCAAGAGTGAAATATTCAAGGTGCAATTGCAAACATTGCCAACAAAGAGAAAAAATAAGACAAGTTCAAAGAAGCCAGAATGGATGTCTAAAGAACTTGTAACTGGGCTAAGACTCAAAAGAGAAATGGACAGGAAGTGGAAAAGGGGAGAAATCACCAAAGAAAAATTCAAACAAATAATCAACTCCTGTAGGGAAAAGGTTTGCAAGGCTAAAGCTCAGGCTTGCTAGAGAGATTAAAAACAATAAAAAGGGCTTCTTTGCTTATGTCAGTAGAAAAAGGAAGAACAATGAGGCAATAGGGCCTCTGCAAGGAGAAGATGGGGTAATGCTGACAGGGATAGGAAAGAGACAGAACTACTTAATGCTTTCTTTTCCTCAGTTATCTCACAAATAAAAAGTCATCTTCAACCTCAGCAAGATAGAGTGGATGAGGGATTAGAGGACATCCAACCCCAAATTGGGAAACAAGTCATCCAGGAATACCTGGCTGCTATAAATGAATTTAAGTCCCCAGGGCCAGATCAATGAAACCCAAGAGTATTGAAGGAACTAGTGGAAGTCAGAACCACTGGCAATCACCTTTGAGATTTCTTGGAGTTCTTTGCTTCCATTATCATTTTGTATATTACTCCTGCTCCCCCCATTTTACCTTCTCCCCTTTCTCTGATAAGAGAATCCAACTTATTTTCCTCTCTTTTAAACTCCATTCTTAACCATTTCCCATAGTCCTCTCAATTTCAACTACATTTCTCTTCCACCTTTTCCCACCAACTCCATAAAATCCATCAATTCTCCTCCATTATTAAATATATTATATAAATCCTTCACTCTTACAAATCCTGCTCTATTCAACTTCTTCAGCCAGCATTCCTCTTCATCCTCAAACAAGCTTTATAATGGTGACCATTTAGATAATGTGGTGATCCATTGCTTTTGCCATTTTCTCATATTATAAAAGCTAATCTTCTAGGACCCTCTGTTCCTTTTATATTCCCTTTTATATTCTTACTAAAAATACCAGCTTTTCCTTTACACCCATTTCTTTCATTTTCTATTCTAATCCATTTCTGATTTCCCTTATACATTTCTATTAAATACTTCAACTGAAAAGCTTCATAATATGCTTGATATGTATGTATGAAACTGTGAGAGCTGTTCAGCAGTGGAACTCTCTGCCCCGAAGTGTGGTGGAGGCTCCTTCTATGGAGGCTTTTAAACAGAGGCTGGACGGCCATCTGTCGGGGGTTCTTTGAAGACGATTTTCCTGCTTCTTGGCAGGGGGTTGGACTGGATCTCTTCCAACTCTATGATTCTATGAAAAGTGTGATTTCAAGTCTTAGAAGATATTATCCTCTATGAGGAGACTAGAATTGAAGGTTGGCAGAAGTGCTACTCTTTTTGTGAAACCAGTTATTTCCAGAATAAAAATTACGCCCCTCCCCCAAAGCCCAAACACACACACAAGTGTGTACAATTTAGCAATGCAGTAGAGTTCTACTGTGTCTTATGGCTTGCAAAGGAACATGCTCCAATGATAGCTAGCCAGATCAAAGTTAAAGAGGGGGGCAGTGGGATGACGAAAATTTGATGTCCAAAACTTACCTTCCACTGAGAAGGAAACCAATAACGACAGCCAACAGAATCACTCCCACCGTAACAGATACAGCAATTATAGGGATCTGGCTCTGATCGCTGGAGGCAGCTACTGCTGAGAGGAAAAAACAAAAGATTATGGTTAAATTACAGTTAAGACTACGGGGGATTACAGTTAAAATTGCTATCAACCTTTAGAGGCACTTTCATTTCAAGTTTGATGAAGAGGAAGTGAAATCCACCTACTCTTTAACGTATGCAATTTTATTTTGGCTTTGGGGAAATAATATTAAAAGCTAGGAACTTTAGTTTAGGGAATTTCTGTTAACCATGCTTAGTTCTTGTATTCAAACTGGATTCAGGACAGAAAACTTGGTGACACAACTCTTTGTTTTCAGTCAGAATAGAAAACTCAATGATAGCTAGCCTTGAATATTTCAGTTTAGATAAAAAAATTAGGACAGAAAACATGGAATTTCTCCTGCCACATCCTGAAATCTTTAGACACTTTGCTTTTCATGTCAATATTCCAGAGCCATCTACCAATTCCCTGTCCTACTCCTTCCACCATTATGATTTTCTGGAGCTCTTGGGTAATTTTCAGTTTAACATTCTCATTGTCCTCTCCTGGCCTTCCATTATTTCTGTATGTTTTGAAAAACTGAGTTGAAAGTGTTATTCTTGAGGACATGTTTTGGGAGAAGATTTATTTATGAACAGATATCATGTTGTTGGGGTTAGGAATACATTGATTTTAAAATGTGACAAGGAAAACAAGTGTTTCTGTCTCAAAACCTTTATTATATAGAAACATGCAAGCAATTCTTGCCGTTGTCTCAAATGTTTTGCTGATGCCTCAAGAAATTTACATCTAAATAGATACAAACTGAAATCAATTACATGGGCAAAATTTACATGATCTCCACCTGCTGGATTTCTATTTCATTTTAGCCAAATCTATTTCATTTTTGGTGTTACCCACTTTGGACCCTAAGTTTCTTTTAAGATTAGAATTTTGCGTCTGGACTGAAAAAGGGCTCTTCCATCCTGTAGATGAAATGATATAACCAGAAGTTTATGAAGGTTGCTTATAGAGAGCATACTACTCCAATGGTACAACTACTCCATTGGTTGCTAGTCCATTTGTGGGCACAATTCAAGATGCTGACCTATAGAGAGGTACAGACTATAGAAATGACTTATATGGTCTCATATAAGCTTGCTCAAACTTTAAGATCTTTGGTGTAGGTGCTTCTTTCATTTCCACCATGTTCACAAATCTGTATGGTGGGAACATAGAAGATAGTGTGGAAACATGGTTGCTCATAGATTCTAGATTTTCCTTCTTATAAACTGGCTAGTCTGGCATCTTCCTTGCTATCCGATTATCACCAGATGAAATGTAGCAATTGAAGAAACTTAGCATTTTGCTTCCTCCTATGAGATTGCGCAGTTTTCAAAAATTATTTGCAATTCTGGACTTATTTTGTGGAAACAGACAACAGAATTTTCTGGACACAAATATAACATACAGAAAATACCGTACAGTCTTATGTTGTTCAAAATATGCAAGAAGTTTTCTTTCCTGGTAGTTGGGGAAAAGTTTTCCATGCACTAACTAAAGTATTCTCAAGTAATTAAATTTGTACAAAAAAATCTTGTAAACCACAGCTACATACTTAGAGAGTTGGAAAAAGAAGAGATCCCTCATGTTACAGTCTTAATTACAGGAAAATAACAGAAATTCAGACTGCAACCCCATATTAAATGGAAAATCATAATGTACTAATTATTATTTTACCATGTACTGTTGTTTTAGGTAACAGTGCGGTAATTCATTATTTGAACAGCATTGGGCTACATTATAATCCACTGTTATAATTTCATAATGATTGGATATGTCCATTAAAATGGAAAGTCTATACTGTTGACTAAAGTTTTAATTAATGCTACAGATTTATAGAAATTTCTGATGGGTTTATTATTTCTAGGTGCAATGTAATTCCAAAAAGTATTTATGAATATTTACACTGAGACTGCGCTATGGGGTGGGGGCACATTCAGACACTTATTCTAGAACATCTCTGTCATTTCTTGTTTTTATTCAAACTGAAACAATCTGCTCCAATGAGAATTCTCTGTAAGTAGCACTCCATTTTCTAACTAAGGCAGCACTGACTGTATGTACTTGTGTATAGGTCAGGCTCGCATACAAATCAAAGGCAGGTTTGGGGGACAAAATTATAGATTTTGATATGATATGACCTAGGCATTCAAAAAGGCCAAAAGCAGCACAACAGTGGAGAGAGTAGATTGCTTCTCTTTTGCTAATCTACTCATAGAAGCAGGTGGTTCCTTTTTTGGTAAGAGTTAAGGTACAGTGAATAAGTCAACCCAGGATGTTTGGGGGGCTGGCTGGGTGATTTTTTTTGTAACTTAGTTATTTAGTAGTTAATCCAGAGTCCTTTCTAAAAGCTTTTTAATTAATGAGAAATGATTTTAGTCCTACACATACTGACTCAAAAGTAGCCCCTACTGAACTCAAAAATGGCTCACTCCCAAGAAAGAAGGCAGAAGTTTATAATGCAAGTCATATTCATTAGAATGGTTTCACTCTGACTATAAATAAATAATAATGATGGTGATAATAAATATATCTATGTTGCCTTTTGCAACTTTAAAATTATGGATATTTTGTTCTTAAATTTGAAGGCAGAAGGGCTATAGACCAATTACACTGAAATGTCAACAGGTTATTTTAAAATTATTTAAAAATAACTTGAAATCTCATAAATCAACTGCATTAAATTAAAAACTTTTCTAGAGTATTCAAAATGTGTAATAGATATTTATTTGACAGCACAATATGATTATGTTCTACTTACAGAATATGATTAATATATAATGTAATATAAAATGCATTAAATAGAAAAAAATTATTACATTGATGATTGCTTCAGTAAGCCCTTTTCTCTATATTAGTCTGTTGACTGACTTTGCTGCTATTTTTTTTATAAATCTATTTCTTTTTTTAAAGGTAACATGCATTTAAAATAGGAAACTGACAATATTCTTAATAAAGAGAATAGATGATGAGAGCTAAAAGCAAACAGTAATCCACAAAAGATCAATCTAAATTCAGAAGATAAACATGGAGAATGAGTTTCTATTCAACAGGGAAATGAAGGGAATTTATTCCATTATGCAATCTTTTCTAAATAGAAATAGTATGAAAATGTAATAAAAATGTCACCTGGACAAATTGAAAAAGGTATGCAGTGGGCACATAAATATTGGTGACAGGTGAAATTTACCCACCATGTTAAAGAAATTAGAGGTTTTTTCCTCTCTATTACAGTGGCTCAGCAATTAAACATTTTAGTCCTATAGAGCACTGTTTTTTAAAGTGTAAGTCCCAACATAGTTTATTTATTTACTATGCTTATTTTCTAGAAGCATAGTAAATAAATAAACCCCAACTGGGAATCTCCTTAGCTTTGTGTTGATGTCCCAAAAACTGGCAACAGTAAATGTTTTTGTGGCTGTTTTAGACATTTACATGAATCAGTGCAGTGTTTACAGTGGACTCTGCAGTAGATGCTTCAGCTGTACTTCACCAAAAGGAAAATTATATGATTCGTGTTCAGCAATCATTTGGATTTTACACCTATTTTATTTACTTATACACGTCGGATCATACACAAAGTTTAAGAAGCCCTGACCTAGAATAGTGATATGCCTGGACTGAGGCAGCCCCTGGACCATTGGCTGCTGCTTCAGGCAACTTTCTTGGAAAAAAAACCAGTTATAGGTAATGGCCACAAGTACAGTACGGATCCCAGTCACATTGGCAAAAACATTTCTGATCTCCCACATCAGATAGCCTGGGAACCACTGTCATAAGGTGCATTTTATTATTATTATTATTATGATTAAACTTTATTTGTACCCCGCTAGCATCTCCCGAAGGACTCGATGCGGCTTACAAAGGCCAAGGCCTCAACTCAACAACAACAGACAATAACAATACAATGCAAGCAAATTAAAAACATAAGCAATAACGAAAACAAAACATTAAACTATTACGCAATAAAACCAGGGCCGGGCCAATGAAGGGTACAGGTTAAAAAAGTGCTGGGTGTAAGAGGTGATATGTTGGGATTCTGGGCAAGTGCAATGTGCAGAGAGTCTTAAACCCTAATAATGTGCTTCTGGGACATAGTGCTGGAGGTTATCCTATTCTGGAAAGGCACATCGGAATAGCCAGGTCTTCAAGTGCTTCCTAAAGACTGCCAACGTGGGTGCTAGTCTAATGTCTTTGGGGAGGGTGTTCCAAAATATTTTGCCATATTGTCATCTGTATAGTGCAAACAGAGAATAAAGTTCCCATTCATGTGAGGCAGCTGTGATAGAATCATAGAATCAAAGAGTTGGAAGAGACCTCATGGGCCATCCAGTCCAACCCCCTGCCAAGAAGCAGGAATATTGCATTCAAATCACCCCTGACAGAAGGAGCCTCCACCACACTCCGGGGCAGAGAGTTCCACTGCTGAACGGCTCTCACAGTCAGGAAGTTCTTCCTCATGTTCAGATGGAATCTCCTCTCTTGTAGTTTGAAGCCATTGTTCCGCGTCCTAGTCTCCAGGGAAGCAGAAAACAAGCTTGCTCCCTCCTCCCTGTGGCTTCCTCTCACATATTTATACATGGCTATCATATCACCTCTCAGCCTTCTCTTCTTCAGGCTAAACATGCCCAGCTCCTTAAGCCACTCCTCATAGGGCTTGTTCTCCAGACCCTTGATCATTTTAGTCGCTCTCCTCTGGACACATTCCAGCTTGTCAATATCTCTCTTGAATTGTGGTGCCCAGAATTGGACATAATAATCCGGTGTGGTCTAACCAAAGCAGAATAGAGGGGTAACATTACTTCCCTGGACCTAGACACTATGCTCCTATTGATGCAGGCCAAAATCCCATTGGCTTTTTTTGCTGCCACATCACATTGTTGGCTCATGTTTAACTTGTTGTCCACGAGGAATCCAAGATCTTTTTCACACGTACTGCTCTCAAGCCAGGCATCCCCCATTCTGTATCTCTGCATTTTGTTTTTCCGGCC